TTAATTATTGTTAGTTTAATCATATATATAATCAATGTTAGTTCAAAGTATAACTAAATAGTTTTATTTTGAACAAAGTAATGGTGAATTAAATAAATCAAACAATTATAACTCCGCCCACATATAAACTGCTAAAGAATTACTTTGATTACCAGTTTTATCTTTTTACCCTGATTGATACGGTTTTATGCTGGCACGTATTTGTGACAGTCGGCCCGAAAGGGTTAAGATGTAATTTCTATATAATCCTTGCATTTATAAACTCAATTTATAATCTTTTAGATCCACCACTATTTTTAAAAATTTCTTTAATTTTCATTTTACTACCACTGAAGAAAAATATTTTCGAACATACATTGTAATGAAACATGCCCAAAAACGTAAGCCGCATTTATATTAAGCAGTGAAATTTTTTTTCCCGTATAAAATGGATTTTATTGGTAAAAATTACAGAAATTATAAAAAAAAAATTTACTTAAATATTTAAGATTAAAACGAATCAGAATATAAACTGTGAGCTTAAAATATGCTGGAGTTGTCTGCAGCTATGAAACGAAACTTTGATATTAAAAAGTTGTGAGAGACTCTACCGCCTCTGTTTTGGCTAGGAATCTTGAAATCCAGAAGGAGTTTTTTGAAAACTGTATAGAGATTATCATGGAAAAGAATTTATAATTAGTCTGAGATTTATAAACTGCTTAACTTGTAGCAAAAAATAGCATGCACGTTGCTCAGCAGGCTGCGGAAGTACAACTGTAGAGCTACAGAGATAAAATTTCTTGTTGGATCATTTTTGAGTATGAATTTATTATAAGCTTTTTTTTAAATTTCAATTTTAAAATCAAATTTCAAGTGCTTTTATGGTGATTTTCTTTCCTTAGATTACATTTAGTTTTGCTGCGCAAAAACTGTAAGACTTAGAAAATTGAAATTTCGAAAAAGTTTTGAAGGGACACGATGTAATAAATGTATTCGGTTATCAATTCTAGAATTATCAACGGCTAAATTTGAATTTGTAGAATCGGACGAAAATAGGGGTTTAAATAAAAATACGTTTTGATGTGTAGAAAGGTTAAATTTCATTTTTAAATTTATTGCCATTGTTTTTAAAATTCCAATTTGTTTGAAAATTATTGCAATTTTAAGAAATTTTTCAAGGAATTTTTTAACCTTTTATTATGCTTTAAACAATAACTGTTTACCCATTATTGAAGAAAAAACTTATTTATCTCCTTGGAGAATTTTATTTTCTAAGCTCACACTTAGCTTGATTTTAAGAGTAACAAAAAAGAAGTTAGTAAAATTTAAAAAAATTAAGCGTAAGAGACATATAATGTTACCAGATAGAATGTCTAATATTTGTATCGAAGTTTTAAATAATATTATTGACTCTGTAGAGACAAAAATCGTTTCCGATTTGAACAGTTATATAATATACAAGGAGCAAAAATATGGAAACACTTCTATACTAAAAATAAATATGGAAACAATTTCTATACTAAAAAAAATATGGGAACACTTCTATACTAAAAATAAATATGAAAACACTTCTGTACTAAAAAAATATGGAAACACTTCCATGACAAAAAAAAAATGAAAACAGTTCTATACTAAAAAATATGGAAACATTTCTATGCCCAAAAAATATGAAAACAGTTCTATACTGAAAAATATGGAAACACTTTTATACAAGAAAAAAAAAATATGGAAACACTTCTATACAAAAAAAAAGTAATAACTATTAAAAAAAAATTTTGAAGTTAAGAAAAATCATTGGGGGGTGAGGGGCCGTGACTTCCGACGCTACACCCATATTCATGCCCGTACACTTTTTGACTAAATCAACTTTCTCGACTATATCAACTTCAGCATCATAAACACAAATAAAGAGTCATAAAACTTCAGGCTAACATAAGTATTAACTTTTTCCAGAACATAAAATTTTAGCCAGCGAAAACATTAGCAAGTGCGCCCTCAGACAGTAATCCCAAGTAATGTGACATACTTAAGCTCTTCGTAGTTAAAAGAAAAGTTTAAAAGCAATTTAACATTTCTAGTGATTTGTAACCTTTGTTAAATTAGTGTTTCCAGACTGGATATACTGTACCGAAAGGGTTAGTAAAAAAGTAGCTCTATTTAAGAAAAAAAGAAGAAGAAAAAAGATAATTTTAGATTTTCTTGGAGTTGATTGTTGTCCAGACATAGTTTTTTTTTCTTATTATTTTCACCATCCTGCATTTTTAGTGTTTTTGCATAATATTAATTTAAAGTATTTATATGTTCTTAGTTACAATTTCTGTCTTGGCGTCGATTTTAATGTGAATACAGAAAAAAGGAAGAGAATTCTTTTACGTTTTCAGAAAAATATATTGGTTGGTATTGAAAAATCAATCTAGCCCACTGGAAGACAAGAGGACAAAATATCGTTTAATTAATTGATGCAATTTTGCAACCCATGATTTGAAATGTTGGGTGTTTATAAAAATCTATCTAGAAAAAATGGACCAATAGGTAATCAGTTATCGCAATAATGCAATCAAATACATTAGGGATAAAACGAATTTTTTGTTTTTGTTTTTTGTGTGTGTGCGTTTAAAGGACATAAATATTTCTTTTGGATTCGAGAAACTCTGAGTAAGGTTCGAAAAGGGTATTTATTCTATTCAGTTCCCTCCTAGAGAGAGTGAATCCATATCTGCTCCAGTTTCAGCTTCAATTTCCTACCGCTTTTTTTTTCTCGAAAAATGAACAGTTTACATAACAGCGAAACTTAACGTTTTCACAATTGTAGTCCTTAATGCAGAGATTCCAACTTGCTTCCGACAGCAAATATATATTTTAAAGTGGTAGTTTATCAATTGTGATTCATGGTTTAATAAATTCAATTTAGTAGATTTTTATCTATCACTATTTATAAACAATTCATAGGCTTATATAATTCATCACTTTATGGTACATATGTCAAGCTATACCATTTAAAAAGCAAGCAAAATTAGTCAAATATTTGCAAAATTTACTTTGTAGTTATTTACCGTTATTTTAATTATTTTGGCGTGTCCAGAGCAGTTGCCATCTCTGTTAATGTGCTACGTATTTTATTCTTTTCATTAATTTTCTTTTTAAAAACTACGTTTATCTTGCCCACCCCATTTATAATATATCATTAATGTAAATATCTTTGCATCGAACTTAACTCTTTCGAAGGCCGTTGTAAGTATACTTACCACCAATTTTTAAAATCCACACCGAGGTTTTTTACCACTTTTAATTTAGGTTTCCATTTGTTTATAG